AAAGACAGGGGAAGAGAGAGAGAGAGAGAGAGAGAGAGAGAGAGAGAGAGAGAGAGAAACATCGATTGGTTGCCTTCTGTACATGCCCCGACCTGCAACCTAGGTATGTGCCCTGACGGGATATGGAGCCCACAACCTTTTGGTGTACAGGGCGATGCTCCAACCAACTGAGCCACACTGGCCAGGGCTTCCTGAGCCATTTTGACTTGGGTTTTACAATCAAGTTCTTGAATTTTGGACCAATAGCAAGTACTCCTCTTCCAAGTAAAAAAAATAAAATTAAAAGATCACAGCTCTTACACAAAGCATGAGAAGAGGGGCTCTCAGGGTGGGAGAAGGCCTACACCTCTCAGGTCCCAGGAATCCCCCGGGGTGGGGGCCTCACCTGGACGTTGCTGACGGCCCGCATGTAGTGGGCACCTTGGGGCAGGTGCACGGCCAGCTCAGCCTCATAGGCCCCCTCCCCCTCGTTGGCGGCATCCATCTTTAGCTCCAACACGTTATCGGCTCCAATTAGGAGCGGGGCACCTGTCGTCCTGTGGGGAGAAAGGAGTAAGAGGCTGTGTCCAGGCCCAGGGTCTGGGAGGAGGAGGGGGTGAGGACAGCGTATTGGTGTATGACACCCCAGGTGGGGAGGAGGTGTCATCAGCGAGTGGGCCAGGGAAGGGGAGAGTGGGAGGTCTCCTCACACGCTGGCGGCGAGCTGAAGCTGGGGCACACACAGGTCATCTTCCCCGCAGTCCAGGATGATGCGGGTCTACAGGGGGCAGGCACATCGGGGTATGTGGGTAAGTTGGGGGCAGGTGAAGTTAGGGGATTAGAAGATCTGAGAATGAAGGAGTGCTGAGATGACATCAGGGCTTTGGGACAATGTCATGGTTTAGGTCAGCGGTTCTCAACCTGTGGGTCGAGACCCCTTTGGGGGTCGAACGACCCTTTCACAGGGGTTGCCTAAGACCATCGGAAAACATATATATATAATTACATATTGTTTTTGTGATTAATCACGATGCTTTACTTATGTTCGATTGGTAACAATGAAATTGGGGGTCACCACAACATGAGGAACTGTATTAAACGGTCGCGGCATTAGGAAGGTTGAGAACCACTGGTTTAGGTGGTGCCATCAGGGTTTATATCAGAGGTTTGAGTTGACATCAACCCTTGGGGTTTAGGGGACACTGAAGTTTTGGGGTTTTCATTCGGGTTTAGAGCAGCCGTGGGCAAACTACGGCCCGCGGGCCAGATCCGGCCCGTTTGAAATGAATAAAACTAAAAAAAAAAAAGACCGTACCCTTTTATGTAATGATGTTTACTTTGAATTTATATTAGTTCACACAAACACTCCATCCATGCTTTTGTTCCGGCCCTCCGGTCCAGTTTAAGAACCCATTGTGGCCCTCGAGTCAAAAAGTTTGCCCACCCCTGGTTTAGAGCGACATTAGAGATTAGAGGTGACATCGAGGTTTGGGGTTCATATTACAACTCGGACACTAACCCTGACCCTGACCGTCCGGCCTGTCCCTGCCCACCCTCACCTGCTCCTGGACGTGGGTGTCTCCCTGCAGCACAAGAGCCGGCGCCAGTCCATCCTTCTCGGGCTGCAGGGACACATTGACGCTGAGCACAATGGGGCTCAGCTTGTCCCGGAAGTCGGCCTCGTCCTAGGGAGGGGACGAGAATCAGGCCCTCTGGCTACTGTGTTCCCGACCACTGACCACCCCCGGTCCCGCAGCGCCCGGCCCGTACCCCAGGGCTGGATGAACAAGCTCGCCACCCAGCCTGCCCATCCCCAGCCCGGCGTACCCGGAGGAAGGCCGTGGTGGTGTGGCAGATGGGGCTGTGCCTTCCCCCCAAGTCCAGGTGCAGGGTGGTGCCCGCCTGCTGCGAGTTCAGCAGGAGCACCCTCCGGCCCTGGCGGGGCTTCTGCCGGTCCAGCTGCAGCTCGGCATTTAGGCCTGACAGGGCGAGCAGGGAGGGTCAAGGTCTCCCTGGCCAGCCTCCAGGGGAGCCCAGGCCACCTCCCTCCTGTGCCCACCCTGCCACTCACCCAGCTTCTGAGGAACACTGTGTCCAGTGGCTCCTACACACACCTGGATGTTAAAGCTGCAAAGATGTGAGTGGGGCTCAGGGGTTAGGGCCCCTGAGGTCCCAGATCCTGCCTGGCCCACGCCCTCCGTCTCCTCACCAGCTCACTGGTGTCTTGGTCTTGGGCAGGACGCAGTCCTTCACAGCAGGATTCAGCGAACCTTGTACCAGCAGCTGGACAGTGGCCGTCACCACCGGCTGAGCTCTGGTGGGATGGGGCAGGCTTGCTGTTGTGGCCCTTCCTGGCCTCCTCCCCACCCCATCCCCGGAGTCAGTCTCACCTGTACACAGCCACCTTGTCAGCCCCGTATGCTCCCACCAATAGGTCTGTAGATATTGGAAGGGGGTCAGAACTGGTCATGAGAGAGGGCATGACGTCCCCATCTCCCCAGAGGTGCCCAAACCACTTCCCCCATTGGAGGTCTGACTGGGCCCTCCCTGGCATCTCAGCCCCACAGACGGGCCAGAGCTCTCAGTGGGGCGCCGGGTCAGGCACAGGCCCCTGGCTGTGTCTCCCAGCATCTCCAGCTAATACTCAAGGGCCCTTTTTGTTCAGCTGGGGGCAGTCCAGGGCACCTGGGTATCCATTGTCATCGATGTCTGTGGCACCTCGCAGGGAGAAGCCGAAGCCAGAGCCCGTGGAGAAGGGGCTGTCCAGGACCTGGGAGGGGCGGGAGCTGAGCCCCTCACTCTGGCCCAGGAACACCTGCACTTGGCCCCGACCACTGGGGCCCCCGTAGGGGGCGGCCACTGCAACATCTGGAAGGAACAACAGCAAGAGGGTGGCTGTTTGTTTTCCAGTCTCTCCAGGGGCAGACCCCAGGGGACCGGGAGAGCGAGACGCAGATCTGGGTCAAGAAGGCAGCTGCCCTGCCTTCCAGGAGTTTACAATTGGGTCAGAGAGAGACCCATCAAATAGGATTATGATAACAACAGTAACAGCCCTATCTATTCAGAAAAACACATTGACATGATTTCATTTGATACTGAAAATGAGGCATCGTTATTCCTATTTTAGGTGAGAAAACTGAGTCCCAGAAGGTTCAGTAACCAAAACCTATTAAATTCTCCTCCCTCTTCCTTAGGGACCTTCACCCCGTTCCGCTTATGCCCTTACACCACGCGTGCCCAGCGTCACACCGTGGGCTTGTCATCACTAATAACTAAAAAAACTTTTTTTTTCTTTTGCCCTGTCCAGTGTGGCTCAGTTGGTTGAATGTCGTCCTGTGTACCAGGAGGTTGCTGGCTCTATTTCTGATCAGGGCACATACCCAGGTTTCAGGTTCCATCCCCCGTCAGGCTGCGCGTGGAAAGCAACCATTTAATGTTTCTTTTTTACATCAATGTTTCTCCCTCTCTCTCTCAAAAATCAATAAAACATATTTTAAAAAATCTTTTTTTAGTGATTTTAGAGAGGGAGGAAGCGGGGGTGGGGGTGGGGGAGAGGGCACTCGAAACATTGATGTGAAAGAGAAACATCCATGGGTTGCCTCCCATATTCAAACTGACTGGGGATCAAACTCAAAACCTAGGTGTGTGCTCTGATCGGAACTGAAGCCACAACCTTCGGCTGCACCAGCTGATGCTCCAACCAACTGGGCCCACTGACCGGGGCATCACTAATAACTTTTAAGACCACTCTTGAAAATTTATTTGTTATTCATCATAATCTTATTAATTTGTAAGTGTTTTTTGCATGTGACAGGACTCAGGATCTTTGATCCATATGTTGTAACTGTCTTTGCTTTGTCTTCTATGCAGTTTTTTTTTCCCTTTTAAAAATCTTTATTGATCTTTCTGATCAAGTTACCCAGACTTTACCTAAATCAACCACTCTGACCACAGTTGAGTCCCCAGGCCCTGGGCCTCCATGCTCTCCTAATCTTTGGCTTCCTCATCTCTTCACTTATTTCCTGTCCACATCCTCGGCCATCTTGCCCCATTGCCAGTTTGGGGCAAGCCTGGCCAGACCCCCACCAGAGCAGGGCACAAGGAATTGAATTCCTGATCTCCAGTCTTCACTAGGGACTGCCCAGCAGTCAGGCAAGGTGGGGGTGGGGGTCTGCGCAGCGTTCTCTCCCAGTTTGCTCAGCACCGATTTCAAACATTCTCTGTCCTGTCAAGCTCCCAGCCCCTACCTCCTTCATAAAGAGAAGCAGCCCAAGGGCTGTGCTACAATCCACACGCACTCCCCCCCTTTCCCATCTGACCTTGGATTGGTTGTCCCTCCTTGACCCTGCTGCTGGGCTTAGCATCCCACCCGCATCCCCCAGGCATCGAAGGGACCCTCCTCCAGCTCACTCTTCCTTCCGTCCACGTCCCCACAGATCATTTTCCTTTACATTCAACTTACTCCATATGCTCTGAAATTAAAATAGCCTTTGCTTGACCCTCCTCTCAGTAATCATTGTTTTTCCTCTTTCACAAACTGGTTGAAAGAGCTGTTTGCACTGGCTGCCTCCAATTCTTCATTTCCATTCATATGTTGCCTCGTGGGGTTTTGCTTTCTGTCCCTACCCAGCCCTGAATCAGCCTCTGACCTCCTTCCTTCTGCGTAGAGGACTCTCTTCCTTTGCGTTCTGGGCCATCAGATCTCATCTTCTCTCCGACCCCTCTGGACAGTCCTCTGTCTCCTTTCCAGACTCACTTCCTCTGGGGATCCCCTAAGTGCTCTTGCTCCCCAGGGCTCTGTCCTGGGCCTCTCCTCACTTCACAGGCGCCCAGGACCTACTCCGCGCCCTCCACCCCCCACCCCCTATGTTCCACTCAGACCTCTCTGGTGGAAGTGGGGAAGCTACACTCACTGTTCTCTGGATTTGTCTGCCTAATGTGGGCAAGTCCTTCAGGATCAAACAGGTCCAGAGACCAACTGCTGACATCCTCCCACAAAACCTCCCAGATCTGCTGCCTAGCCCGAGTTCCAGGCAGCGAAGGATTCCCCGTCCCCCCAGCTCCTTTGCCTGGAATAATGCGAACAAATCCGACTTGGGCTGCGTTAACTCTCTCTGCTTAAAGCTCTTCCTGGCTCCTGCGGCCTTCAGGCCAAATCCCTGGTCTTAACTGTGGCTGCTACCCCCGGGCAGCGTTGGGGCCCCGCTCCCCTCTCACCATTGTAGTTGTCCCGGTTGAGGTCGCCCAGAGGCGCAATGGCTGAGCCAAATCGCCCATAGAGCTGGGTGCCAGTCAGGAGGAGGCTGGGCGCCCCCCTCGGGGTCGCCGGGAGTGAGGGCAGCTCACGACTCTGGCAACTGGGGGCTCAACTGGGTAGGGCTGGGCGCCCCCCTCCTCACCCGTCCCCGTTGACGTCGGTGACGGCCACCGAGTGTCCGAAATACGAAGCCACCTGCAGGAAAGCCAGGCGCACCCTAACTCCCGCCCCCACACCCACCAGCCTCCCTTCGTCATCGCCCCCCACTCCCCGCGGAATATTCTGGGGTCCCACCGCCCCGGCCTCGGGCACCCCCACCAGGAAGCGGCCCCCACCTGCTCTCCGTGCACCCGGTGCAGCGTCCGGTAGTTGGATAGCAGGATTTCCACCTGCGCAGACCACCATGTGAG